AAAAAAAATATATTAATTTAAACATATCTATCTTTGTGCAAGCATCATAGCACTTTTCAATATTAACAATTCAAAACAATTACACACATTACATAGCTGTAAAATTGTCTTAAATATATATTTAGAAATTCTTGAAATCACCTTAAAGGACAGATATTAACTTCATGTGTGCTAATAACAATAACCAACAGATGGCACTAAGTGAAAAGTGAAGGTGAAGAGTATGAGCAAGGACTAAATTCTATACCCGTGATACTCAACTTAGTGTGATGAGTGGCCTGTCGACCATTTTCTAACTCACAATAAATTGATTCACACTGGGATTGTTTTTGTTTATACCAATTAGTAAAGGTTCAATAATTTCCCTTGGCTATTACTTGAGAAGTTGCATCTTAGCCTTCACACACAAATACACACACTAAAATAGCTTAAATATGCTATATGCTTCATTCTCTCAAAAACAAAAACTCCTGAGAGTAGGGGTTTATGTTTATAGTTTATGTTTATGAATCATTCCAGCATTTGAGTGACTGCAGGCTGGAAGAAGTACCAGCTATGTTTAATGTATAAAGCCTTTAAATTGTAACAACTAAAAATACAGTTGCAGCTATTAAATGCAGTAATAAAAAAAAAATTATCTGTCATTGAAAAATATCTCAATATTACTATCTGCTGCACCATCTGGCTTCACCTTAGCTTTACAGGATAGAGCGACAATCAAGAAAACAACCAATCAGAGCCACAGAACATAGAACAGGCCTAGTGTCAACCCTTGTACCAAGTTAATTTAGTTAATAAGTTGAATAAATAAGTCAGTTAATTAAAAAATTAATTTTATATGATAAATTATATAAATGTTTGTTCATTAAGTGGCCCCAGTCTTCCTGTTATATAGTAAAAGTGGCCCCCGGGCAAAGCAGGTTGGGTGTCCCTAAGAGTCTCTAAACTGCATTTATTTATTTTTTACTTACACAAAAAGGTTATTTCTTTTATTTCTTAAACATGTTGCTATTTGAATACTTCAGCCCTATGTAATTTCCATTCCATTATCCAATATCGGCTAAGTCTAACAGAGTAATCCAGTGTTTTACGATTTCACTTCCATAAAGTTCCAAAAGATGGATTTTAGAAAAAATTGCGAATGCTCACAGTACATTTCTCCTAATGCAACATATGTTATCAACTTTCATTAGATTAGATTACATAACCCTGACCTGGACTCCCTCTAGAGCCACACACACACGTGCAAGACTGATATAGATACCACAAGGTAACGTGAATATGAAATATTCATAAATAGCTAAATATGTAAGGTAAACTGACTGTTAAGGATATAAACACTGATACTCATCACACAGCTCAGTGTGTGCAAGTGTGTGTGTGTGTGTGTGTGTGTGTGGCACTCACTCACACTAGGTAATAACTGGCAAGGCATTGGCAGTGATCAATATGGAGTAGGACTAGAAAGCCATAATAGGAGGACAAATATCAGAGGAGAGGCAGTCTGGGTGTCTGTGTGTAATGGATGATAGAGGTGTTAGTGTTTGGGCCGGTGTGCAGTAAGTGGGTAAGCTGGTGGTTGGCTACATTGTGTGAAACCAGCAGGGTCAATGATGGTGATAATGGGGAGGGTAAGTACTGTATTGGGGTTAATACTTCTGAGCTGGCCAAGAGATTATGGCACTGTCTAAAATATGGAAGACCCCTTATTGAAATGCTTTACTTCTAGGCTTAATAGCAAACTGACGTCATCAGGAGAACATGTACTGAAAGACAGAAACAGAAAATAGCTTTCAGATTACACATTAAAAGGCCTGGTTGAAAAAAAGAATGGGGGATTTAAAAATGAGGTGGGGATGGGGAACGACGGCTTCCTCAATGTGAAACTTTCTGGATTTATTTTTTTGTTTTAATAATCTGCCTCACGATGATCTCAGTGAGGATTTTGAGGTCAAACTTTGTTTCCTCCTGCAAAGTCTTAGCAGATCTGTGCAACATCTTTAACTTTTTCTTAGTTTACCACTTTTTAGTGTGTGGGTTGTACACATGCACAACACTGTTTCGTTGTTTATTCCACCCGTTGAAAAGTATTATGTAAAGTTTGCTTACGTGCTGAAAATTCACTCTTAAAAAAAAGTTAACCTATTGTAAACCCACCATCACCCATGCAGATTACATCTATAGTCAGATTTAAAAAAAATTCTGTGAAACAACTATGAGTTATAGAATCACGATGTGCTACTTATAAAGATTTAAGCCCCTATATCTGGGTTACACTAGTCCGTCCCACAATCCAGATGCTGCCATCTGTGAGAAAAGAGCAGTGTGTGTGTGTGTGTGTGTGTGTGTGTGTGTGTGTAGCTTTCAAATCAAATGCTGAGTGTTTCATTTCACTATTAATCCAGGTCGTCCCCACTTAGATGTTAATAGGCCGGCTGGGACCGACATACTGCTGTTTATGCCAAGTGGATAGTTTGAAACAAAAATCAGAGAGAAAACTGAGAAAAGTTGAACAAGGTTAAATAAAAAAAACACAAATTTTTGATCAGCTGCAATATATAAATATATATATATATAATGATGAGGGTACATGGAAGAAACTCAAAGGCTGCAGAACAAGATGCACTTTTCGACCTTAAGAACATTATGCAGATCAAATGCTCTATGCCATTTATTTTAGTGCTGATGACAATGAATCATATATCAAAGATTAATTAAATGCCAAAAAATATGCTTTTCTGTGTTCTATAGCAATAAATTGATTATTTTTCAGTTCAGACAAAACAAGTAGCCTACTTTTAAGACTTCATATTGTGCTGTGGGAACACTGTGACAGGCATTTTTACTCTCAATGATTTACCAATAAATCCAGTATAAAAAAGTCCCTTATCAACACATTGATCGATAATAAAAGCCTTGATTTTGTTAGTTGTTACTATAAATAATTTTTAAGAATTACCATATTACTTATCCAATTAATAGAAGGCAGCCAAAGACTTATAGAGCATGAAAATAGGCCTAATACACCCTGAAATAAAACACAGGATGTCAAACTACTGGCATGGACTGTGATTGGATGACAGGGAGTAAATCTGCTGATCAAATCCCCTCATGGCTCAAGCTGTGATTTGGACCGGAGAGATTTGTTTTCAGAGTGAACTCCGCCCTGCAGAGATGACTACTACCACTGTCCAACACAGGACTGCAGCGGGCCAGCGGACAGACTGTTTAATTTGGATGAAACAGCTTGGACTCGAATTTCACTGCTCCGTCCCAGCGTGCTGACGTGGAAAAAACGAAACAAAAAAAACGTGCCAACTGACCAGCTGACCCCAAAGGCTCCTGTCTATGGTAGGGTGGATACTGTTGTGTTTATATTCTGGTGTTTACATGTTTCATGTGTTGAAAAAGTGACCTGCTGTTGGCTGTTTAAACTTTCCGGTTCCGACCTTATATATACTGTCAGTGGTCCCCGCAGTGAATTATGGGAAAGAGAATGCCGCTCTATGGTTCCACTCTGAAAACTGGATAATTTGTTTAATACACAAGTGTTTGTTTGTTTGTTTGTTTGTTTGTTTGCTTACCTAAACTTAATAGTTAACAACTGAAGCAGGGTTTGGCTTAATGTAGCTATCAAGAACACTGATGTTGAATTATTATGAGTTATTGACCCCTGGAATTATTAACGTTACTTCACACCCTGGTTCATATTTGTTAAACGTGTGTAACATTTAGGGGGATGTATTGGCAGAAATGGAAATATAATATTCAGAGGTATGTTTTCATTAGTGTGTAATCACCTGAATATAGCACTTGTGTTTTCGTTTGCTTAGAATGAGCTGTTTTTTACCTACAGACATTAAGGGTCCGCCATGTTGAACTGCCATCTTTCTACAGTAGCCCAGTATGAACAAACCAAACACTTGCTTTAGTGTTTTGCATTTTTCAGCACTGAAGTTTTTCCTGTACACTCGTTCTCGTTCCCAGACGCCAGTAGTGTTCAGCTAGTTACAATCTGCAGCTTCACCACTAGATGTTACTAAATCCTACACACTGGTCCTTTGAAAATGCTAGAACTTGAACTTGTTTTTGGTGTTATAGCTCCAAATTCCTACTTTTACTGACAGTTAAGCAGCCCCACGTACTCCCCTGTGAAACCAAACTCCAGGGGTTCGCTCTGACTTGTTTGCCATGGTGCACAGAACATAAAAATTGTAAAAGGGACGATAAATTGTCTCACCCCTACCTGTAATTAATGGCAATCACTCAATCCCTTGTTTCAAGTCCATGTAATAAAGGAGTGTAAAGTGACTTGCAAATTCACTTAATAATTGTCACATCTGTTGCCTTCACACCTTCACAATAAGCTGTCTGAATAAAACTGCTGTTGACGAACATGTTTGATCCTTAAAAAAAAAAAAAGCCCAATCCCAATAACGTACAATAGGTGTACCACTTTGACAGGTGGTGATAAATTGTGACATTCAACAGCAAGTGGCCCAATATTCAACACATCAAATATGACAAAATCATAAAAGGCTTGATTCTGTTGCTGTCCATATACCACTCTTTTTAGACTAATATGATCAAAACAAAAAAGAATAGCAAGCCTATCAACTGCTTACTTAAATGTTCAATTCAGTTTAGATCAAACAAATCTACTAAATGTGAATATACTATTAATATCTATTATTAATTAGCATTTGTATCTGACACCTGTGAAATAATAACTTCAAATTAAATGCTGGAAATCATTACTCTAGTTATTTGGTAGAAAATCAATAACAATGCAGTAACAGTTATGTGCCTTAACCTGGACTTTATGCTTAATGCATTAGGTCAGTGTAACAGATGTATTTAGACACCATGTTTGACTACCACCGATGTTGCTTTATAAATATGGATTCATGTGCTGACTCTGAAGGTTGTAGCATCCAGTGCGCTGTCAGAGCTGTCCTCTCCCCCCAGCAGGTGCTGTGGCCGAGATGTGAGAAGAAGTCATGCCTTTGGTCAAGAGAAACATCGAGCCTCGGCACCTGTGCCACAGTGCAGTGCCTGATGGGATTGGCAACGAGCTGGAATGTGTAACCAACAACACCCTGTCCGCCATCATCCGCCAGCTCAGTAGTCTGAGTAAGATCACAGTTACTCATGTTTAGCTATGTATCGTTACATGTTCAGATGCTTCTTTAACCTGAGATCATTACAGGAGGGGAGCTGTGTGACTCATCTCCCTGTAACTGTCACACAAACACTACTCAGTAGGGCTGTGAATTGGCAAGAATATCAATACAATATGTATCACGATACAAAGGTTACAAGTCAATATATTGCAATAGTTAAGACTTTATACTGTGACATTAAAACTGTCACAGTATAAAGAAAACACCGCCATATGCATAGAGTCTAAGTAAACAAAGCTTCCTTTCCCCACTCTGCGGGAGCTGGTCTAATTCTGTCAGGTTCAGCCATCGGTGGTAACGTTACCAGTCAGCTAGGTTTGCTAATACTAGTGGTGAGTTACATAGGCCTGTGTTCTTTGTGTTTACATTAGCAATATGTGCTTACTGTGCCAGTTTATGTTGTTACATTAAAGTGGAAGAGTTAAATGGCTGAAGATAGAGTAGAACACTGCTGTCCAGCGATGGGGGTTTACACACAACACAATGAACCACTGCCACAAATCTTTGCCTGTAAACTATTCATATATTATATATTTATATCTCTCTAATCTAATGTAAATTTAGTTCATGACAACTGCATCAACCTGAGCAAAATCAGCCCAAATTACCATAAGACAACAACAAGTTAATTATAAGACATTGAATGGTGGACGGTGACATGACATTGTGACGTAACGCAGCAGCAGATCAGAACTTCCTTGTAGGCTCTAAGGTGATTTGACCATGACATACTGACTTACAACTACTTTGTGTTAGGAGTGTTTACATTTTCTTAATCCTTGGAAGGTGATAATCAGAAAACAGAGACCATATATCTCAGTGTCAATTTGAGGTTATTGTTGCTGTTTATTAGGCTTTTACAAGACACATAAACAGCATAATATATCATGTTAAAGGCCAATTAGCACCTAATTGTCATCCAACACTGTACTCGGTACTATCTATCTACTTTGCACTCTAATCGGCCAATTTGTACATAAGTGGACTGGTTTAAATGCTTGATGAAGTGTGCTGATGTTTATATATAAATGTGTTTGTTGTGTAGATATCAAAGTAGCACTGAAATATGTGAGACCAAGAGGGAATCATGTAGAAGGAAAGACTATTTTGGGAAGCAAATTTACTCCTGGACATCTGGTCCATGGATTCTGACATTAGTGTGTGTGTGTGTGTGTGTGTGTGTGTGGATTTAGTAAAGTTACAGGAGCTTAGAGCTTACCGTAAAGCTTTGTATCACAGGCAGATAAGACAGAGAGGCAGTGGGCGGAGACACAAACAGAAGCAGTCTAATGATAGCTTCCACATTAAGTGGATCTGAGCTGTTTACTGTGGTGCCGTCCATGCTTTTATGTACGGCGACCAAACACTTAATGTTATATAATCCAGAGAAATATAATGCATTCACAAACATCAAATAAGAAACCCAACTGGTCGTAGTAATAATAGTTGAACACAGAAGTTGCTGTATTTCTTTAATTCCTTTTTCTTTTCTTCCTTTTTTCCATTTGGTTCTCCTCTCTGGTTGCAGGTAAACATGCAGAAAATGTTTTTGGGGAGCTTTTTAATGAGGCCAACACCTTTTACGGGCGTGCCAACTCTCTCCAGGACCGCATTGACCGCTTGGCTGTCAAGGTCACCCAGCTGGACTCCAGTGTGGAGGAGGGTTAGTTCACTGCCAATCGCATGTCTCTTGATTTGATACTGTATTTCCTGCTCCCCTCATTCATTCTCACGTGCTTTACATTAAAACCTCTCTCCTATTGTTTTGTAGTATCTCTTCAGGACATAAACATGAGGAAGGCATTCAGAAGCTCTACTGTCCAGGACCAGCAGGTTTTGTCCAAAGGCAGCATTCCAAACTCTGTGGCTGAGATGCACAACAGCAGCGACAAGCCTCCTCCCCTCAGCACCCTCTCTGCCTACAGGTACTGCGTGCATTTAAAAACATCTGGACAGGTTGCATTTCCAATTAAAGTGTTGCATTTCATGTGGAATGGATTTTGTTTTTTTAATTACAGAGAGGATTCCACTGATGCAATGAAATTCTACTCAGACCCGTCGTACTTCTTTGACTTGTGGAAAGAGAAAATGCTTCAGGACACAGAGGACAAACGGAAAGAAAGGCGAAGGCAAAGGGTGAGCGCACACTCTAACCACAGCTTTTTTTAAATGTACTTTATGTCTTATTAAGTGTGTTTTACTCCTTGTCTGTCCCTCCATCTACTTTCCCCAGGAACAGAAGCGATGCGTGGATAGCAACACGCTTCAGCGTGAGGTGAAGAAGGTGAGGAAGGTTAGAAACCGCAGGCAAGAGTGGAACATGATGGCATTCGATAAAGAGCTTCGTCCGGATCACCGCCATCCGCAGACTCTGCGCCGAGGGGCGTCGTCCGAGGGGTCGCTCTCTCCAGACGGCAGGTTAGTGCTTATTTTTTGCCATAAAGTAGAGAAATTTGGGTTTTTAGATGGAATGGAATGAGTTTTATATCCACTGGCGTGTTCATGATGAAAAGTATTAGGATAATATGTTAACAATTGCATAATAAAATATAAAAATAAGGATTGTCTTGAGTGTGATGCCATAGCATGTCCTGTTTGTCTCCGTCTATATGTCTATATATAAGTTGCAAATATGAAAAAAGGCAACATTTATCTTAAAAACACACCTTTAAATAGATTATATAACTGAATTATATGCAGATGCAGTCAAAATGACAAAGATTGGAAGAAATAATATCTAAACAGGAGTTCAGTAGGGGGTATTATCATGAATAGGACCATGTGACTCAATTATCTTTGTTGTGTAAAGCTTCAGTTTTGATTTTATAACAACAAAATCCACCATCTGGATATGTGAAGACATCTGAATGAAAAGCTCTTTCATTGTTTATCCAGGCCTGACCTCCTAGACTACCCCATCCCTCCAGTGCCTACCCACGCTGCTTGTAATTATGCCAAGTCACATGATTACGTGCCTGGGAACGCACACCCCTCACCACCTGTGGAGCATGAATACCACAGCATTGATGTCAACTACAAGAGAGTAACGTATGCCACAGCAGAACCTCACGCTGCAGACCGGATGAACGGTTCAATGCGTCCACCTGCAGATTACAAGTATGTTTGTTTGTTGTTTGCATAATCAGAGAAACAGTTAAATATAATATCACTTTTCCACTGCAACATAATCCTCTTTATATCATTGTCCACCAGCTCCGGCCCCCCACCTCCTGCGCAGGGCCCACCCATCCCATCAGCCCAGACAGCCTTCGGTTTTCCTCTGGGTGCACTACCACCAACACCACATAATGGAGTCGTGCATGTAGGCCCGGGCTACCCGCTCCCACCCGTACCTCCTCCAGGGCCATGCATGGTCCCTCCTCCCCCAGGTCCCCCACCTCCACCTCTCCCTCCTCCAGCTGCACCCTCGCACCTAGCAGGACACAGCGAAGGCAGCAGAGCTGAGACTAAACCTGTAGGGGGTGCAAGAAGTGACTTGCTGTCCGCTATCCGCATAGGTGAGTCGGGGTGGTTTATTTTGCATGGTTTTCTGCTGGTCAGATCGAAGCAAACATGGTTGTATAAAACTACATCCTGTTCTGTATGTGACCCTGCGTGTGACAGGTGTACAATATGTGATCTTATTTTAATACACCTGATGTGTGCCCTTTATAGGCATCCAGCTGAAGAAGGTCCAAGAGCAGCAGGAGCAGCAGAACAAGCGGGAGCCGGTGGGGAACGACGTGGCCACCATCCTGTCCCGACGCATTGCGGTGGAGTACAGTGACTCTGAAGATGACTCTGAGCTGGATGAAAATGAGTGGTCAGACTGACCAAACACAAAAGTTTAGCACCTGGCTGAAGTTCTGCTTTACTGGATCTTCAGTGCAGATAAAACAGAACTGTGAATCCCTCGCTTTGGCTCCCCCTAGTGGGCCTTACATACCAACCCACTGCTGCAGAGTACCTTTACTTCATCTTATATTATTAAAATCTGCAGCTACATGTTTTTTCTCATGATGATAATTGCAGTTTGCAAAGTGAGCAGTTTGCACCATTTTTCTGAAACAGGTGAATTCTCAGATATACTACAGTCCACTGATTCATTGATTAACCACTGATGAAATGTGAGCCATTAGTTTTGTGTCAATCTAAATCTAATCTACTAATAAAATGCCCTCTCCTAACTGACACCTTGAACACACCATACCCATCACTCCATTGATGAAATGTGTACTAGATTTTAAAACCGATGTCCCAGTACGAGATCTTTTAAAGATTTTGACATGTCACAGTAGGAAAAGCACAGGTATAAATAATAAAAATGATTGGCTGAATTCTACATAACTGCTTCAGTTTCAGGGTCCTGGTATTTTCCTATAAGTCAACATGTCTGCTATGAAAACAGCCTGTTATATAGCAATATTAAGTAAAACTTTCAAAGATTTCAGTATTTATTTTTTTATCATTTTATAAAATCACACATTCCTGGTAATATTTTTGACTAAATGTACTCTGCCATATATTATGTGAGTGAATAATTCCATGAGACATTGTGTAATTGCTACCTCAATTTGTGATTATTTCACTGTCCCACAGTATGTGCAGTAGGGTATCATAGCCAGTCTGAATACAGTTTGTTCTGCCATAAATTATTATTTTTTGTGAAAATGTTGACATATTATTAAATTATTTCAATATCAGCAAGAAAATCATGTTGTGATTGTCTCTCTTTTACTGTCTTTTTCTTCCTCTTCCTTATCCTTCTCTATTGTCCTTCAGTAGCTATATTTATCACCTAAATGGTAAATAATATTATAACTGTGTTTGGATTTTAGTTATGCGTAGGTATGTTTTATAGTGTGAGTGTGCACATGACAGCAGCAAGGCATATTTAAGACAAGCCTCTGATATTGTTATTATCTTAACATTAACTGTGTGGATTTTTCAATTACTAGTCATTTAACACAGTGGTAACTGATTGGCATATAATATGAGATAATAAGATTGAATAAAATTATTAATATAACACTTCCAGTTCATGTTACTATGTATTTATTATGAGGTAGTTATCAGTACAAAGATATCACATGTAGTTAGTACCATGTAGTCACATTATAAAGGTCATTACCAAGGTAAAGAGCCGTGGCCAACACGCTAAAATACAATTAATAAAAGGTGTAAAAATCGGTTAATTTAATTAAAAACGGTTTGAAATAATTGTAGCTCTTTAATTGAGTTGAATGTTTCATATATATCCAGCAGAGGTCAGTAATGCGCCCGGTGGACGTGGAGGAGACCGGCGGAACCTATCAGCTACCAGGAAACTGTTGATCGTCGGCCGCCATGTTGGCTCTACAGATAGCCCGGCAGGCTCGAACAGAGAAAACCGGTTGAGCCACAATGGAGATGTTTTCTTCCCGTGATAGTCCGGTGCCTAGCAGGTGATTAGCACAGTGAAGCTCCTCCTCTGCCTGCTACGTTAGAGACAAACCTGGAGAACTGCACATTAAGACAAGGTAAGATATTTATAGTGGCTTTATTACTGCTTTAGTTTACCTTCAAATCTTGAGCCAAATATTTCGTGAATAATCCTTAATTTACCTTGTGATGATGATGAAGATAGCTAGTGTTTGCTAGCTGGTTAACCTGCCTGACTTATACGCACAAATCAGCTTTACTCATACGTTCCGTGTGTGTAGTAACAAACACTATGCTGCCATCTGGCTAAACATATCCTCAGCGACGAACAGTGCTTAACGTTACTACCGTATCTCCAACCCTGGGTGAAAGGCGAATCCATGTGTAGGTTCAGCTGAGTTAGCCTGTGACCTTACACTGCTGCCACTTTCTAATGTGTTATGGTGCTCATTTAAATGTCCATTTGATCGAGGTGTGTAAAGCCATAGACTGACGTTCACGTTTTCATTGTTAACTGTATCACTAGCTAAGAGGATGTGCTACATAATGTGTATGTGTCAGAGGTTTGTGTGTTCAGTCTGTCTTGTATCCATTCCTCAAGGGATTTTGCAGGACATAACCTATCAAAATGGATACTTCCAGACTTCCTAAGATCCAGGATGAGGAGCGAGAAAGCCAGTTTGGATACGTACATGGAGTTTCTGGACCAGGTCTGGTTTATTGGCCTTCTCTTTAAATGGCTAGATTGCATTGTTTAGCATCTGATGGGTCAAACGTCATTTCTTCCAGCTACTATAGGTTAGGCAAGGCTTAAATATTTGTGACAACCTTTCCCACTATTGTAGCTCCCCGTACAGGTGGGTAATATGGATAAAATCCTGTATTACAGTAATTTCATATTGTGATTTGATTGATGTATAACGATATGTGGTGACAAAACAATTCAAGAAAGCTCATCACGTTTATGCAGCAATCATATTACAATCTAATATTGCCAGAATACAGTTCTTGCTCACTGATTTGCAACATTGCCTACAATGGCACATTACTCCCAGATATATTAAAGGGGAAGCTACCATAGTATAAACTATATGATAAATTACAGTACACACATTTATATCAGCTCATGGTATATATTAAATAATCATATTGCTTGTCTAGCAGTTGTCTAGCAACTCAAACATCTTTAACAAGGTTTAAATTCCTTTCACCATATAAAAATGACCCAGGCATAATTAAGATAAGTTTGTTTGCTCCACAGAACAAATGAGGAGAAAATGTTTTCATAGAAGTTTGAAAGTAAATGTAAAAATATGCAGATGATTGATGATTTTCTGCACATTCATTGTCCACCAGATTTGTTCATTACAACAATTTCTATATTTTTCTCTCTCTTTTCAAACCTATCCAATCAACAGTGGTGACAGCTACTGCGATGGCAGGAGCAGCCATGTACGAGCTGGTTCGTGTAGGTCACAGTGAGCTGGTGGGAGAAATCATCCGTTTAGAGGGCGACATGGCAACTATCCAAGTCTATGAGGAGACTTGTATCCTTTCTGCTGCCATGTTACTAGACACATTTTAGAGCTACTTTTCTGATAGAAAACAGGAGTATGAATGTGATGGTCTTGCAGTTGTTCTCCTTCTCTTTCTTGTTTTCCTTGACCTAATGTTACAGCTGGTGTGTCAGTCGGTGACCCTGTCCTTCGGACAGGAAAACCCCTCTCCGTGGAGCTGGGACCAGGAATCATGGGCTCCATCTTTGACGGTATCCAGCGTCCACTAAAAGACATCAATGACCTCACTCAAAGCATCTACATCCCAAGAGGAGTAAACATTAGTGCTCTTAACAAAGACATCAAATGGGAATTTACCCCCGGCCAGAGTCTTCGGGTAAAGAAAATTTGGTTGAGGTGTGGACTTGGATGTCTCTCTCTCTCTTATGCAACTTCTCTGACTAATGTCATGTGATCTCCTATCCAGGTTGGCAGTCACGTGACAGGCGGTGACATCTACGGCATGGTGTTTGAAAACTCTTTAATCAAGCACAAGCTGATGCTTCCACCTCGCAACAGAGGCACTGTCACCTACCTGGCCCCGCCTGGAAACTATGACATTTCTGTGAGTGTTGGATTCAAAATGCTCCTCCGTTGGATCAAACTTTTCTGTGAACTGATTTTCTGATCTTGTTGCATTCAGGATGTGGTTCTGGAGCTCGAATTTGAAGGCGTAAAAGAGAAGTTCACCATGGTGCAGGTTTGGCCAGTACGACAAATCCGCCCAGTCACAGAGAAGCTACCTGCTAATCACCCGCTGCTGACCGGTCAGAGAGTTCTGGACGCACTTTTCCCGTAAGTAGTCCCCTCAAGAGGACATTGTGCACTCATTTGCTTTCATAACCACAGACGTTAAACAATCGGTTGTAGTTGTGGATGCAGGAAATCTTTGTGTTTTTATAGAAGTGTATATATATATAATTATTTATTTATATAAATATACTCATCAGTCTGTCCTTGTGCGCTATAGTTTGCTTCTCTGTGGTTTGCTGACTGTTTCTTCTGATTTGGTTTCGAGATTGTCACGACTTCAGCCTCCATTTTAACTTTAACATTTTATTCTTTATAAACACTCATAGAGAGTCTTCAACTGATTGCGGTTCACATGTGTGGAGCCGCTTATTTAATGCTGTATGATTAAAGATCTGTAAGCGGCATATGATCCCTCATTTGTGCTGTTACAGTTGTGTGCAGGGGGGCACCACTGCTATACCAGGCGCCTTTGGATGTGGAAAGACTGTGATCTCGCAGTCCTTGTCCAAGTACTCCAACAGCGACGTGATTGTTTATGTGGGCTGCGGCGAGCGTGGAAATGAAATGTCTGAGGTGCTGCGGGATTTCCCCGAGGTTGGTGGAAGAATAAAAACATATTTGTCATATTTGTGTTGCTGTGTACATATTTCACTGGGTCGCTTTCAGATCCGATATATTTAAAAAGAATAAACAAGTAAACATGAATGATTTCATTTTATATTTGTTTTAGAGCCCAAAAAACCCTTCAGTGTGTATTCATTGTATATTGTTAATACTGCTCTCGCCCAACAGCTTACTATGGAGGTTGATGGCAAGGTGGAAAGCATCATGAAGAGAACCGCGCTAGTTGCTAATACATCCAACATGCCTGTGGCTGCCAGAGAGGCCTCAATTTATACAGGTACCAACTATTCATATGAAACAGAACACTCATTGTTCGTTTTAATGCTACTACATGATTTCCCTTTAATTGAAGTTAGTTGTCCCTTTCTTGCTTCTTAATAAACAATGGGGAAACTTAAAACACCCTGAAATCCCACTCTGAGTAAATACCTTTTGTTTCTTTCCTGTTTGTAATTGTTTGGAGAATCCATTAAAAGCATTTATAAATTAAATATAATTACCTCTGCAGGTATCACACTGTCCGAATACTTCAGAGATATGGGCTACAATGTGAGCATGATGGCCGACTCGACATCTCGATGGGCCGAAGCTCTGAGAGAAATCTCTGGAAGATTAGCCGAAATGCCTGCTGGTAAGTTCATGATGGAGGTGATTGATTGTATTTGTTAAGACGCTGTGAGACAGTAGTTGTGAAGCGGTTACAGCTGTGTATGTCGTTGTCTGCAGACAGTGGGTATCCTGCTTACCTGGGCGCCAGGCTCGCCTCCTTCTATGAGCGTGCCGGACGCGTGAAGTGCCTGGGAAATCCAGAGAGAGAAGGCAGCGTTAGCATCGTAGGAGCGTAAGTACACGTCCGTACAAGCAGGGAAAATAATGTCGTCTGTTGGAAAGTGCACTAACATTACATACTGTTGGTTTTTCATGTTTTAGCCTATATATTGCCAAGACATACAAGTACTGCTAAGTTACTGCTTACTTCCATGGTTTAGAAGCAGACTAAGCATTCAAAATGAATTTCCTGGATGGTTGGAAACGACACAACATAATGTCTTGCAGCTGCACCACATGTTGTAGCTACCTTTAGTGGTGCAATAGCTATCTATACCTCTAAGTTATATGTTGTTCTGTGGCATCTTTAGAGATTTATTGGATCTTAAAAAGGTCTTTGACAGCGAGACCTCAGAGTAGGAGTAAGAAAAGTAGGCAGCCTAACAAAGCAAATGAAGGCATGTAAGATATTTGACTGACATTACACTGAATTACTCTGAATTTCTCTTAGTGTGTCCCCCCCTGGTGGAGATTTCTCAGACCCTGTCACTTCAGCCACACTGGGAATTGTTCAGGTACGCCATCGGCAGTGTTCTCTTCAGCCCTTGATCCTAAGATTTGGCTCAGTTCACATTGCAGCCAATATTTCTTTGTTGTGCGTTATTCTGAGCGCGTGTCAATGTTTTTTGTTTTATTTTTCGTAGGTGTTCTGGGGATTGGACAAGAAGCTGGCTCAGAGAAAGCACTTCCCTTCTGTAAACTGGCTGATTAGCTACAGCAAGTACACGCGTGCTCTGGATGAATATTACGACAAACATTTCCCTGAGTTTGTTCCTCTCCGCACTAAAGCCAAGGAGATTCTGCAGGAGGAGGAGGACCTGGCTGAAATTGTGCAGCTTGTAGGCAAGGTGAGGACAATTCAGTTTATATCACATGTATAAGATGAATGATGGCCTCAAAAGTAACTAAAGAGTTCAGTTGGACGTACGCTGGATCAAAAAGTCTTGACTGAATAAACAAAGAACCCTGCACACTTTTACCCACTTTATTAACGACACTGTGGTCCTTAGGTCTTAATCAGGTGAATTCACATGGCGGTCAGACCATCAAAATGTCTGTAAGTTAGAATAAGTGACTGACAAACTGCCTCAAAACATTTTTACAGCTAGTAAATCTGTGCATTTGATGTGTGAAACCTGTGTTTTATAGAAGAGGCTTCTGACAGACCTATCAAGTCATTTAAATTCTTTGCATGCTAACCTGGTTAATGAACAACTCTGAAACAATGTTTTTTTCTGTTCACAGGCTTCTCTTGCTGAGTCTGATAAAATCACTCTAGAGGTTGCGAAGCTCCTTAAGGACGACTTCCTGCAGCAGAACGGTTATACTCCCTACGACAGGTGAAGACGAAACAACTCACCAGCCACAACATGCATGTCGTTTAGATTCAGAAGAAGCTCTCCACCTTTGTATTATTTTTACAATCCACAATGATGATGTTGAATTTTGTAAATATTGAAGTTGCTAATCTCACACAGCAATTGAGGACCAAAACCTGAAAACATAAATATAGACACGAGCTTCAGCAAAGTCATTATTTAAAGACACGAGTGATTTCTGTGGAAATAATAGAAAAACTAATGTGGTCCATTAGTTTAACATTAAACAAGGTTACAACGTCTGATCATCAGTGGATATGAAGGGGAGGTGTCTGTAAATATTGTCTTTCAACTGAGTATTACATCCTTACACACACAGGTTTTGCCCCTTCTACAAAACTGTTGGCATCCTCTCAAACATGATTTCTTTCTACGACATGGCCCGACACGCTGTGGAGTCCACAGCGCAGACTGACAACAAAATCACCTGGGCCATGATCAAGGAGCACATGGGAGAGACCCTGTACAAAATCAGCTCCATGAAGTTCAAGGTACACGATTGTTCTTCAGCTTACTTACATTTTCTGTGATGTTTTATGTTATTTATCACTCAAGATCAATAACTTATTCTCTGTTGATGCCTGTTTACGCTCATCTGCTTCTTCAGGACCCTGTTAAGGATGGCGAAGCTAAGATTAAAGCAGAGTTCGCACAGCTGCTGGAGGACATGCAAAACTCCTTCCGGACCCTGGAGGAATGAGATTTCTTCCCCCCTCAGTTCCTCTCCCAAACATCCAAACCCCCCAGTGCAGTGCAACATAGTGCAGATTAAATGGCCCGTGTTCTGAATGTCTGCCTCAATCATTTGAACTCCTTTAATTCCTCTGTGTTTACGTCCCCTTAAACATTCCATGACCTGCACAAATGTCACAAATGTGGTTTTGTTGATTTTTGACTCGTCTGCTGCAAAAAAAAAAATGCAGTACGGGAATCCCATAAGACACCTGAAGATATGGTTTGCTCTGCGGATGTAGCAACACCTTCACTCAGCCCATTGCGTAGCACTTATAGATCACTACACCCTCATGTTGTGGTTACAATCAGTGGGCCATATCAGGTGCTGTACTTGCACTTAACTAATAGCTGCAACAAAGAGTGGAACGCTTCTTTTCCCCCAGATGTGACACTGATCAATGCCGATTATTAATGAAATGGGATCATGCACATGGGTAAAGGGACAGAAGCACTGTTATTGTATATCAGGGGGTTAAAGGCATTCTTCCATCTCTTACCTCTTCAGTGTGATGTTGTGGACTATATACTTGATATTATATGTAAAAATGTGAATGAATGAGCCTGTTAGTGTTGTGTTGTAACAGATGTCTCACTATTATATTCATGGTATGTTACGGTGTCCTGAAATAAATGTTAAAAAAAAACAACTTAAGTTTATTGTGTGAACGTCTGAAAGCCTGCTCCATAAAGGCAGAGGATACAAATGTGATAAACCTATATCAATAACTATTGTAAAGCAATATAAAGTCCATTTTATATTATATTCTTGTTACTGCTGCAGCTCCTGAACACATTCATATTCAGTGAAAGATTCTCACCTCCAGGTGGCGCACACACACTGCTTGAATGCTGTGGGGTGACTGTTAGGAAAAGGATCTGACTCATGTATTGAAAACATTAACAACAAACTATATTTTCCCCATAAATGTATTTTTTTTGTAGCTTTGAAGAAGGTTGGAAAAGCATTTTACACATCACTACACCAAACACTGTGTGACACTATAGCATAATAGTCTATCAACACTTTGCATCATATTATACTCATATTATACTCTACTCTTATTTCCCTACAAAACCCAGCCTGATATATTTGGTATATTTGAATTCTCTAAACAACCATAATTTTCACATTTAACAAGCTTTGCCTGACATGAAACATGTAATTGAATAATTATAAAATCATTTGATATCCTTTACAAAAATCAAATTTAAAGTTTTGTAAAAAAAAAAAAAAAGAAATCTTATTTATTAATCATTTAACACTTAAAAACTCAGCTAATATGCTTCATCAGGACTGTGTGGAGGAGCAAACAATCCCTCAACTGACCTTCATTATTGTTTGATCCCGCTGTTTCTAAATTGTGATTGGTGCACAGAAGTATGTGACATCAACTTTTACCAGGGAGTCCCTTCCACTTGAGATCGATGGTAATCACACAGACAAAACAAAAAGTCCATCATGAAATAACCCAAACTGTTTGACGTTCATATAAAACCTGATTACTCGTAGTAAGACGCTAACTGAGAATACAGGTCAGGACCTTTAAACTAGGATCAACAACACCACGGTGCACCAGACACCATAATGTCTTTTTCTAAACCTAAAAGAGAGGTCGACCTGGAGAGCAGACAGTGTTATGACAGGTAGACAGCTGATTAGATTAATGGACTGCTTCCTGTCTCCTCTGCAAGGAAAATGTTGCTGTTGCTGCGCAGGAATGTAGAGGGATATAACACCTACAGGGAGGAGGAGAGGAGAAGCCCAGTTTCATCAAACATGACAGCAAAAAATATCTTGGATTGCTCAATTTACCCTTTACCCTTTGTTCGTTGAAAACACAGCGTCTGTTGTCGTCTACTGATGTCTGATCTTTAGCATGTATTGTTGGTTTAGCCCTTTGTCTACAACTCACACAGCATTAATTCCTCCAAAATAGATTAGAGCCGGTATCTCGGGTTCCGGCCTCCATCAAGACTAATGGAAGCACAACCCACAGGAGCAAGAGCAGCATTTTTTTCTCTGCATTGATTCAATCTATCCAGACTCATCACACCAGTGCAGACATTAAGAGGTTTCAGTGGTATGAGAATATACCGGCCTATAGCTTATAATGCACCTGCCTCTCTTTCGCTCATTCTTTCATTTGCAGTGACTGATGGGCAGCGTGTGTGTGTGTGTGTGTGTGTGTGTGTGTGTGTGCGGTTGTCTGTAAAATAACACATTAAACAAACCATATATGGGTCTATGTGAAAGTGGCAGATTCCGTCACATCCATAACATTTTTGCGGCCGTTCGATCACCAATCATTCGTCCACTTCAAGGACAACAGAATAATAAAATACTCTTTTATGTAATTATTGACCAGTTTGTCTCTAATGTCAGAAAACAGATGACTCATGCAATTGCCTCATGTCTCTGACTACTTCATGAACTTCAGGGTATTTGCTACCTGCTCATCCTCCAGACACCAGTGTGTTTTCCCAGTTCTCTGAGCTGAGTCACTCCCGATGGACCTTTTCTTTTTAAAGCACCATTTTACAGCTGACATCAAAATTCAGAACATATTTCTTCCATATTTGATGGATTTCCTATCACATAACTGACTGTTGCAACCAAGTGTATTTTGTTTCTAAGTGACACCCACTGACATAGTGAATGTAGCAGCAAGGGTGAAGGCTGGATTCAAGCTCCCATGTTGGCACACAAGGTCTCTGCTGAAGTGTTCATGAGCAAGAATCTAAATCCAAATTCGTAACACACGCTCGGGGGGAACTGCTTTGTGTTTGTGTTTGTGTTTGGGGGGGGG